CAACATTTATTGTTGTCTGTATTCTTGATAACTGCCATTCTGACTGGTGTGAGATGAAATCTTAGAGTAGTTTTGATTTGCATTTCTCTAATTACTAGAGTTGTTGAACAAACATTTTTTTCATATGTTTGTTGATCAAATGTATATCTTCTTCTGAGAAGTGTCTGTTCAGCTCCTTAGCCCATTTATTGATTGGGTTCTTTTTTTTTTTTTTTGGTGTTAAGTTTTTTGAGTTCTTTATATATCCTGGAGATTAGTGCTCTGACATGAGTGTGGCAAAAATATGCTCCCAAAATGCAGGTTCTGTGTTGCAATATTTTATCTTAATGGTGCACTGTAAATGCAGTGGCATCCACTCTTCTAGTGAGTTACACTGGCACCACAGTGGGAGGGCTCCATCCTCTTCAGTCCTAGCCAATTAGCTGGAGACCAACTCTGAGTGGAGGTCCCTTAGTAAACTTCTGTCCCACCTAGTGGGCCAGAGCTACTCCCTCAGCAATGTGGTCTTAATTTCAACCTTGGTTAGGAGTTAAGGAATTCTTCTAAGTATGTACTATCCTTGAATATGCTCTCTCAGCTTTAGAGATAATAGCTCCTCTCTATACTTGCTATTTCAATTTTTTTAAGAGTCCTCTTGTATCCTTTTTAATAGTTAATCATCTTTTACTAGTTAATAATTCTTTATATTAAATTTCCCAGTTCAAATTATTGATGTGGTTTCTGCACCCTAAATAGACTCTAATACATACACTAATATATGGAAATGAAATCAATTTTTGTATATTGACTTTGTGTTTGACAACTTGCTAAATTCATTTATTAATTCCAGTAGTTTTTCTGTGTATTCCTTTGGATTTTCTGTATTTTCAATTAAGTTGTCTACCCTTAGTGACAGTTTTATTTCTACCTTTTTAAGTTTTATTTTATCTCTTTTATTTGCCTTATTGGACTGGCTAGCATCCCTACTAGAATGTTTAACAGATGTCCTGAGAGTGGGCATCTGTTATTAGTTTCCTATTGCTTTAATACCAAATTAACACTGATTTAGTACTGAAACAACACAAAGGTATTCTCTTACAGTTCTGGAGGTCAGATGTCTGAATTAGCTTTCCTGGGCAAAAGTCAAGGTGTCAGCAAGGCTGGTTCCTTCTGAAGGCTCTGAAGGGGGGAATCTGTTTCCTTGCCTCTTCCAAGCTTCTAATGGTTGCCTATGTTTATTGGCTTCGGGCCTTTTCTTCCATCTTCAAAGGATTTCAATATCTGGTTCCATCATCATAGAACCTTCCCTTCTGACTTTGCCTCCTCCTACATACTTCTTAAAAGAACCACTGTGATTACATTAGACCCACTTGATAATGCAGGACAATCTCCCCAGGTAAAGATCCTGAAGTTAATCACACTTTGAAGTCCCTTTTTTCATATAAGGTACCATACTAAGATTCGGGAATGAGGATGTGGACATAAGCCTACCAGAGCATCCTATTTTCATTCCCACTTTTTCTCCATCAAGTATGCTGTTTGTTATAAGCTTTGATAGATATTCTTTGTGAGATTAAGGAAGTTCACCTCTATTTAGTTTTCTAAATTTTCTTTTAAATCATAAACTAGGGTGATATAAATGTTTTCTTATTTTGAGAGAATTATGACTTCTTTAATTTGTTAAAGTGGTAAATTACATTGATTTATTTTCGAATGTTTAAAAAACCTAGAATTCCTAGCATTCCTAGGGGGAAAAACAACCTGGTTGGCTAATATTTCATTTAGTATTTTTTTTTCATCTAAATGCATCATTGAGATTAGACCTTAATTTTCCTTTTCCATAATATTCTTGTTAGGTTTTGATATCAAGGTGATGCTGATCTCCTAAAATAATCTAGGAAGTGTTCCCTCCATTTCTGAGATTTTATAAGACTTCTTTTCTTTCTTAAATGTATATTGCAATGATTAATAAAACTGAGAGCAGAGCTTTCTTTTCATAAAGTTTTAAACTTTCAGATTCAATTTATTTAATAGTTACAGGATTTCTCAGATTTTCTATTTTTGTGTCAACTTGTGTGTGTGTAAATATGTATATTTTAGGAATGTGTCTATTTGGTCTGAATTTTGAATTCATTGGCATTACAGTTTTTACAATACATCTTATGATCTTCCTAAAGTCTGTAGTAATACATTTTTCAATGTTGGCATTGGTTATCTGTGCTTATGCATGTGCGCTCTCTTCTTTATGCATTCTTTCTTTTACTAGTGTTTTATCAACTTTGCCAGTTTTTTCAAAACACTATTTTTTCACTTTGTTAATCACAGTTTCATCTTTTAAAATATATGCATTTAAGGTTATCAATACCTCTCTAATTTGCATTCCATAGTTTTAAATGTTGTATTTTCATTATCATTTGGTTTCATTATTCTAATTTCCACTGTGATTTCTTCGTTGATCCAAGGATTATTCAGAAGTGCATTTCTTATTTCCAAGACAAAAGAGGATTTTATGGCTAGATTATGTTATTGAGTTGTAGCTGCTTTCACTATGCCAGAGAATTAGTTTATTCTATAATGTTTCCAATCCTTCACAATCTGTTGAGATTTGCTTTATGTGCCAGTTTATGGTCAATTTTTTAAAATGTTCCATTTGTGCTTGACAAGAATATGTATTCTGAAATGTTGGGTGCGGCATTCTTTGTATGTTTCCCTTCAGGGAAAGGTTGCTAATATTGTGTTGGTCTCTTCTTTTTGTTCCTGAGAGAAGAGCATTAAAATCTCCCACCATGATGGTGGATTTTCCTACTTCTACTTGTTCTCTCTGTTTTTGTATATTTTTGAGGCTATATTAATGGGCGCATACACATTTGAAATGGATTTAATTGGCAAATTAACTTTCAATGTATTGTGTATACAATTCCACTGTCAACTGGCTTCTTTTATAGCTATTGATTAGTCTATGAGTCTTAACTGTTATGCCTTTGTTGCAATGTTTTTACTCCCTGACGACTTTTATGATTTTTCTCTTTGCTATTAGTGCCTTGTAGTTTCAAAAGTGTATGTAGGTAAAAACTTAATTTTATTTATACCTATTTGAGAATCATTGTTCCTCTTTACCTATCACTTTAGCATTTAATCAGTGCTAGAAAAGTCTGAGGCATTTTACATTCTTTCTATTCTCTCCTCTTAGTACCTTGATTAGATATACATTAAACCTTTATTTATTTATTTATTTTAATTGTTGATAAACCTTTATTTTATTTATTTATGTGTGGTACTTAGAATTGAACCCAGTGTCTCACACATGCCAGGCAAGTGCGCTACTGCTGAGCCATAGCTCCAGCCCCAAACCTTCTTATTTTACTATTCATAACTCTTAATCTAGTTCTTTCTTAAGCAGTGTCTAATATTCTGTTTAACATGTCTCATATCTATTTGGTTCTTCTTCAAATCATTTTCAGTGCATGTTTGTGATTCCATCTTTTATTTCTTCAAATATTTTATATTCTGTATTTGATAATTTCAATATCTGATGTCTTTGGGGGAACTAAAGCTATTGTTGTTTATTTCTGCCGACTCTCACTCACGGTAGCTCATCTCCTTGTTTGGTCATCTTTGGTTGTAAACTCATATTGGCTAATCTTAATCTCTAGATATACTAGTGGATAAAATTAGGGATTCTTCCCTCAAAGATGGATTTGCTTGACAGGAATCAGAAACATTACATACTTACAACTACCCAGAATCACTTTGAAGGTACAAGCATAATGTGGAAGTTCCAAATTCCATCTTTCCACTTTTCTACTATACAATAGTTTAATGTCAGGATCGATTGCTATACCACATTAGCATTTGCCCCAGGACAATCCAGCCTTTTATGCTTGAATGTTGCTCCATGATCCCTCATGTGGTTCAAAAAGAATGGAAATGCAGCCAGAAGGTTTACCATACTGGGAGGCTGATAAATGCATTAAAATTATGCCCCTTACAGCATCTAGCTATTTCCTTTCACCAGAATAGTAGTCTAAATCAGGGTTGTTTTTTATATTTTTAGTTAAAAGAAACTTACTGAAAATGAGATATATGCCTGTTTTTGAGAGAATAATGGATTTTAAAAATTTTTATCTCTATCATTCCATTCTAGCAAAAATAGAGAACTGAAATCCTAAGGAAGCAAAGAAAATGAAAACTGATACATGTCACATACAAGTAACATGATATGTTAAGAAATGGTAAGCATTATATAATTTTATTACCTGATCGACTGTGGTCTCGAAGTTGGAAAGCATGCATGAGGTCAGTTTTTCGTGAAATTATTCTCTCTTTTAATATCCTGATGGCACTAGTTTCCATAGCATGTACCCTATGTTGAGAAAACAATAATTAATGAAAGTTACATGAACAATTATCTTCTGTTTCATTTTAATGTGCTGTTACCACTTACTAGTTTCTTTTTTAAATGAATTGCCTAAATTTACACATACGATGGTGAATATATGCATTTATATGGTATGTACATGTCATATATACACATATACACACACAAGTATATATACACACACACATGCATTTTGTTAATTTTTTTATTGTTTTTTAGTTGTGTATAGACTCAATGCCTTTATTTGTTTTTATGTGGTGCTAGGATGGAACCCAGTGCATCACATTTGCGAGACAAGTGCTCTACCACTGAGCCACAACTCAGTGGTTAAATTTTAAAAGGACTGCAAATAGTATCTTCTCTTGGATTTCAAAGATTCACATAAACAATTGCTTGAGATAGGAAAATAAAAAGGCTACATCAGATACTAAAATTTACCATTAAGTTACTAAAACAAAACAATAGGTATTGACATAAGAGAGGACATATATGAGTAGAAAATCACAGAAATTTCATATATATCAAACTATATATTAGAATAACATATGACAACAGAAGTATTACAATTCAGTAGAAAGAGACAATTTTTTTAAATGGGGCTAGCATAGTTAGCTAACCATCTGGAATCAAACTTCTCAGATGATTTACAAAAATAAATTTAAAATAAAGAAGAAAGAGAGGAACAAAACTGTCATAAGATATACAGTTGTCCCTTGGTATCCAGGGAGGATTGGTTCTAGGATCTCCCATGGATACAAAAATCCACAGATGTTCAAGTCCCTTATATAAGATGATCTATTATTTGCATATAACCTGTGCAAGCCTCCCATATATGTCAAATGATCTCTATTTTATTTATATCTAATTTAATGTAAATTCCATGTAAATAGTTGTTATACTCTATTGCTTAGGTAATGATCACAATAAAAAAGTCTGTATATGGTCAAAAGAGATTTATTTTTATTATTCTTGGCAGTACTGGGGATTGAACCCAGGGTCTCACACATTAGGCAAACACTCTACCACTGAGCTATACCCCATCTCCAGATTTAACCTTTTTTTGTTTTTGATGTGAAACCCATGGATATGAAAGATTGACTATATATTAAAAAGCAGAATGGCAGGTACAAATCCAATTATACCAATAATATGAATAGATTCATCAAATCAAAACAAAACAAACAAATCAAAACAAACAAGATCCAACCATATGTTTTATACAGAAAACATATTTTATATTTAAAGATACAAGGAGTTTAAAAGGAAAGGAACAAAAAAGGAAATATTAGAACTAGAGTGCCCATGTTAATAGTAGACCAAAATAGACTCTAGAGCAAAAAGTGTTAATTGGGGATATTTCATAATGATAAAATAGTCAATCAATCAAGATAAAAATATTTAAACATATATTAACCTAACAGCTGGCCATAAAACTATAAGCAGCAAAAACTAACAAAATTGAAGAAATAGGCAACATTAATAGTTAGGGACTTCAATATTCTATTTTTAATAATGAATAGGACAACTAGGAGAAAAATCAAGAAGGCTCTAGGACTTGAACAGCACTGTAAACCAACTGGACCTAACAGATACATATAAAACACTCCACCCCCACAAAATATATATGCTTTTTTTTTTTTTTTTTTGGTATTGAGGATTAAACCTGGTGGTACTTTACGGCTGAGCCACATCCCCAGCCCTTTTTAGTTTTGAGACAGGGTCTCCCTAAGTTGTTTAGGGCCTCGATAAATTGCTGGGACTGGTCTCAAATTGTAGGTCTCCTGTGTTGTTGGGATTATAGGCATGCACCACTGCAACCAGCCAGAATATGTGTCCTTTTAAAATACATGTGGAACATTTTTCACAATAGACCCTATGCTAGGCCATAATAGAAGTCTTAACTGTTAATTTAAAAGGATCAAAACTATTAAAAGTATCTATTCCGACCACCAAATAGATAAATTCGAAATTAATGACAAACAAATCCATAAATTTTAGAAAATTAAACAATACAATTTTAAAGAACAATTGCATCAAAAAAGAAATCATGGGAGGGAAGATGGCGGCGAAGGGAGTGCATCACCCCCGTGTACCGCGTCACTGTGCGGGAGAATGACGAGTTAGAACAGCTAAAAGCTATCTTGTTAGGAATTTCCAGCAAAATTGGGGTGCTCCAAAACCTAG